TAGTTGCGGGCCCATTCCTGTCTCTCTGTGAAACATGAAGACATGCTTGCTTAGGCTTCAAAGAATAAGATAAGAGGGGTGGGGCTGCATTCTTGTACCAGATGTACCAGGAACAGTTTGCTTGGGCAAATGGAGACTTGCTGTCTCCACTCCCTGTTCTGGTCTTCGTCTGTTCTTAACTCCCTCCTGTCCTTTAGTTACTGATGCATGATAACAAAGTTGATAAAAAGTTGCTGGGGCATCACAAATTGTTTGTAGTGTCAAAGAAGATAGATATGCATGAATATTAGAAGCTTTCTAACTAATAAAGGGGGGTTGGGTTGTTTTAACTATGATGCGACGGAACTGTCTATATAACCTTACTAGTTATTGTAATCAGGGCTGGTTATCTCTGGAGATGGGCCGCTCTCTATTGTTGTGTGCACTCCTCAATAAAGAGCTTGTGTTTGGACCTTGCTGGTGTTGCCTGTCTCTCTGCGTTCAGACAACGAACCGTGCTGTCTGGGTTCGAGTCCAGTACAGTTTGTTTTCAAAGAATTTCTGCTTGTGGGTCCATCCTTGAGCGGAAGGTTGTATCCGTGTCCTTCTAAGGGTTCGCAAAAGTAGTTTGCTCTGGGGAGCCCTCTGTGGGTCACAGACAAACCCCCTGGTAACACCCTGACAATTCCTCTAGAGTGTGTTACCTCTGTTCTCGAGCAGGTCAAGAAGCAGCTGCTTGTGTGCATGCCTGCTTCCTTTCTCTGGAACTGGACAGCTCCTGTCACATACACTGAGCTTTCCTTCTGTGTCCATCACCGAGAAGCATTCCCAGACCAGTTCCTTTCATGCATACCAAGTTCTTCTTCTCTTTACAGCACTTCGTGATTGCCTTCTCAGGGCAGATTATATCAGACACACCTGTCTCCTGTCCTTTCTCCTTGCAGCTCCTCTCCGCCCAGTCCCACATACACTCCCTCGTTCACACTCTCTCTGAGGGATGGGATATTACAAAGCTTGGAAGTTCATACAAGTGGTCACTTGAAAAGGTTACAGAGCTTGCAAAGGTTACAAAACTTAAAAGGCTGTGCTAACAATCACTGAAGTTACAAAATCTGCAAAAAGGTTGCAGAATTTAATGATACAAGTTACAGATCTTACAATTGCATTTGAGTGGAGGCTTTACATAACAGGGTGGACCTCTACCTTATTACCCCTTTGAATAAAGCAAATTGCACAGTCTTATGCAAACCATCACTGGCGTGCCTGAGGTCTAAATTGTGGGGTAACAACCAGAGCTCTCTGACATCATTTCCCAGCATGCTGAAAGTCAGATGTGGGGGAGCTGAGAGAAGCAGAACAGCTCAGGGAGCCTTTAATTAACTCCTCCTTCCCACAAAAAGGGGGGGGGGGGTATTTCAACTGCCGTTGGATCTAGTGCTTGGGCCAAGCGTGGAGACCAGCACTGAGAGTGGCAGAGAAGCAGCCTGGAGCCACCTTCCAAGAGCCACCCAAGGCCTCCACAGGACTTCAAACCAGGGAACCCGGAGACGACCCTACCCCACCCAGGGCAATGGCACCATTAGGAGATCTTTTTGCTTAAGCCAGCCAATGGTCACCATGATGCAGCACTCGCCTTTGGACTCATCTTCAGTGTGTTACCTCCCTGGGAAGATGCTCAGGAGGGAGGTGTGGGTTAGGATCAATTGTGAATGTTTGGAGGTGAGGAATTAGTTGATTTGTTAATGTTTAATACTCATTAGTTAACCACAACCTTTTCCTTCCCCAGATACTATTTTCCTCTTTCCAGTAAAGTTTCCCCTTTGTTATACTTTGTTTGCCGTGTTGTTGTAGCCATCTCGATCCCAGGTCATTAGAGAGATGAGGTGGGTGAAGTAATACCTTCTAGTGGACCAAATGCTGTTGGTGAAAGAGACAAGCTTTTGAGCTACACACAACTCTTCTTCAGGTCTCGGCCCAGGTCTATGTAGTTTGAGAGCTTGTCTCTTTTATCAACTTATTATTGGTCATTTGTATCTTGTCTGTCAACCTTCTGTATACACACAGAAACTAAAAGCGAAAGGAGATATATCAACTCTCAAGTAGTTATTTCCTTGTCATTATCTGTGCTCATCCAAGTATCAATGAGATAAAAGGCACCAAACTCTCCATTGATCCAAGTCTCTCCAACAGGCAGTGCTCTATTCAGCATTGATCTCCCATTGAGCTAATGTTATTTTTAAAAAGCTAGACTTAAGCTGGTGTCTTAAAACAGGTCATCAAGACTTGTAACCAAATTTATCAGACTTCTTGACAAATTATTGAGAACGGAGGAACTCTGTCATCCAAAATCAACGATATTCCTATTAAAAATGAGCCAAACAGTGAAGGGGAATTGCTCATTGATAAGATCTTCCAGATCTTTTTGGACAATACAATCCTTTTTTAAAATTTAGCTTCTTTGTCCGCATCTAGTTTTGCCATCATGAAACCATAAGAACAGTTATGAATGTGAGACAAGAGAGATGGAAAAATTACTAAGAGATGTCACCTCCCTGACCTTCCCCCCAAATATAAAGCATTTGAATAATAGAAACCTGTTCTTGCAATGTACTTTAGTTTGGGTGCTAATAGAGTCAAAAGTAGTATCTGCCTTAGTAAATAGTTACAATAATCTATAGCCTTAATGAACTCCAAACCGCAGTAAAGGAGATAAGAAGGTATTTATCTCCAGAAAGGTATTTATACTTGTTACAGAGGACAACTAGGGAAAGACATTCCTGCCCCAGAATAAATAAATCTGGAAAAAAAAATAACATTTAAAAGGGATAGTGATCTGGGTGATTCAGAGATGCTCTCGGAAATAAACCCCAGATGGTTTCATGATTTTTATGGTATTAACTAATCCAAAAAATAACCCCCCCCCCCCCCCAAAAAAAAAGGAGGGAGGGGAAAGGAAAGAAAAAAAAAACACAACATTTTTGTCCCTGCTCCCCCTTTTGGAGGGGAGGGGCTCAGGAATGCCCCTTGGGAGTGCATTACAGAGTCAGGGCCTTCTCTCTGTTACCCATCTGCAACTGCCACTGACACGGAGCTTACACCTAGGTATATGATGTTGCTCCTAGGTATATGATGTACCCACAAGCTAGGCCAAGCACTGACATGCTACCCTCTGGCAGAAGAGCGAATTAGACAGTGCAACATTTTCTAGTCCTGACTTTTACAATCAAACTTTTCAACTTTGTCCAATCTGAGGTCCTCCCATTTGTTGATACCTAGGGGTCCAATTTTCAAAGAGTTTGTAATAAATCCATGGCTGCATGCACAGATATCACAGCTGTGCCATACAACAATCATATACAAGATAGGGGATACTTAGTGCTGTGTCTTGTAAATGTCAGAGACAGCCTAAAGACAGCCAACATTTAGAATCTTCAAATCCAAAACCATAGAACAGACCCTTAGCCCAAACTATACAGGACTTTCCTGGGAGTCACATGTCTAAAATTCGACAGTGTTTTGAACAGATTTTTTTTTTCAGTTTTCTCTCCATAAACTATCACTGTTCCATTTAGTGAGCTGCCTCCCTTGTTCCTGGATTCCTTGGATTGTGAATCAATGTATTATATATTGCCTTACCATATGCTTTCCTGAAATTCAGATAATCTTCATTATTAGTTTCTCCCTTATTTATACCACATCTGCAATAATGTACTCCAACAATGCTAGAACATTTCTCCTTTTTATGAGTCCATCCTGACTGTCCCTTAATAAATTATGCATTTCTAAATGTTTTGTAGTCTCTTCTGTTATTGATAATTCCCGTACCTTTCCTATAACTGAAATTGGGCTCAGAAGTTAGTGGTTCCCTGGATGTTCTAAATTAGCTGTTACTACTCAAGAAAGAGATCTTGGAGTCATTGTGGATAATTCTCTGAAAACATCCACTCAATGTACAGTGGCAGTCAAAAAAAAAAAAGCAAACAGAATGTTGGGAATCATTAAGAAAGGAATAGATAATAAAACAGAAAATATCATATTGCCCTTATATAAATCCATGGTATGCCCACATTTTAAATGCTATGTGCAGATGTGGTTGCCCCATCTTAAAAAAGATATTCTGGAATTGGAAAAGGTTCAGAAAAGGGCAACAAAAATGATTAGGGGTATGGAATGGCTTCCGTATGAGGAGAGATTAATATGACTGGGACTTTTAAGCTTGGAAAAGAGATGGTTAAGGGGGGGCTATGAGAGAGGTCTATAAAATCATGACTGGTGTAGAAAAGGTAAATAAGAAAGTATTATTTACTCCTTCTCATAACACAAGAATTAAGGGTCACCAAATTAAATTAATAGACAGCAGGTTTAAAACAAACAAAAGGAAGTATTTTTTCACACAACACAGTCAATCTGTGGAACTCTTTGCCTGGGGATGTTGTGAAGGCCAAGACTATAACTGGATTCAAAAAAGAACTAGATAAATTCATGAAGGATAAGTCCCTCAGTGGCTATTAGCCAGAATGGGCAGGGATGGTGTCCCCAGCCTCTGTTTGCCAGAAGCTGGGATTGGGCGACAGGGGATGGATCACTTGATGATTACCTGTTCTGTTCATTCCCTCTGGGGCACCTGGCATTGTCCACTGTCAGAAGACAGGATACTGGGCAAGATGGACCTTTCATCTGACCCAGTATGGCCGCTCTTATGGTCTTATGTTCTATTATTCCATTCTGAAATATGTATCAGAATTAGTAAGTATTAGGGTACAGAGGATACCTATGAAAAAGATATGCAGAGGTCAATACGGTATGGTGAGGGTCATTTTCATGGTTCACCCTTAGTCACAGAAAGGAGGGACACATTTTTAAGATTGAACTGAGTGAGAAGAGAAGGAAAATTTCCTCTATTATGTTTATATAGATAAAGACCAGATGACAGTTTGGGAGAATTCTCAATTTAATTTTATTCCATAGTATCTCAAAGAGATATTAAGGCTAGGGTTTGGGG